CCCCAAAACCCCAAAACCCCAAAACCCCAAAACCCCACCAAAACGCCATATTATTGAAATTTCAATCAAATGTGATACATCTCACAAAGATGGGGCTATTTATTTTAGCAGACTTTTTACTTTAGAAACTCAAGTGATATTTCTAGATAGGCTTCAATCACTCCTAAACGATATGAGAATCAGATCTTGAAAGGATGATTTCCACACTCTCTGCAATTAAATGGATAGTCTGCTCCAATCAAGTTCAAATTAGACTCTGTAGACATTCCTTCAGATGAATCACCAAATAGGAGTTTGTTTCTTGACAATCTTGCACTCAGGTTATTACCAAGACTTGCTTTCTAATCTGAGAAACTTGAAAATTAGTTTCAAAGAGACAGGCTCAGTGGGTTTAGATTCTAAATTTGGGAAGATCACAATTTAGTGCCAATTCAGCCTCATTTTTGTTGTCAATACACATTCAGTTATGGGGGACAGCCAAAGTGTCTCCAATTATGTATCTTTAGCAAAGAAGGTGTGCTGGCTCTTTATTAGATGAGCAGTTCGGGTGCTTAAAACATTCAAGCTATTTGAATCAACTCAGGAATAATGTTTCCTTGTTATTTTCAATAGAATGTATTAATGCAGCATAGTTAAGCATCCACAAGATTTATAATAAAACTACTTTCTTCTTGACTCTATTTGTGCCCAGACTTGCTCAGCAGGTTTTATTTGGAAGAATAATTATCTGGGTTGTCTCCATTCCGTATTTTTGGTGTGATAAAATATTCAGATGCTCCAATATTCGTTCTGGACTAGCCTCTTATCAAGCTAATATATTGAGTATTCCTAAATCAGCAGGTTAATGAGATCAATAGCATGAAGTAATCTTCACACTCAGACCTTTCTCATTCCTCAGTCTCTAAATGCTTAAGGTGGTAAACTTTTTAATAGATAAAGTTGACAACTAATTTCTACTTTTAATAAGGTCAAGCCAATAATATCGATTTCAAATATTTGTTCAATTCTTAAGATTTCTTGGGGTTTTGGGGTTTTGGGGTTTTGGGG